GCCCTCCCGCAGTCAACATTACCTGGCCAGACAAAGATTATGGCAGCAAAGAGATCAGAATTGGCTCATGGCAGTGGAGAGGTGTGTTGTGGCTATCAGCGCTGTCTGAGTGGTTAAGTGGTGCTTTGCTTCGCACTGGAGGCAGAGGCAAGTTGAAGAAGTCCTAGATCAGTGTGTTCCCCAGCCAGTGGGAACATACCTCCTACAGCTGGCACAGGAACAGCACCGAGGAGTTCAGCATCCTCCCTGGATGCAGAGGCCAACAGAAATCAAAAGCACCTGTATGAAAAGCAGCTGACTATGCCAGTTCTGTGAGTTTTGTAACTGCACCTTCCGTTTCCCAATCTGGACCATAAGAGCTTTTCTCCTATGGAGAGCATCCAAGAGAGCACAGAGAGGGAAAGAAAAGTGGAGCATCTTCAGAAACAAACCCTCACCTACATTAAGAAAGAAACTGCAAGGTACAGCCTTACCTCAGGTCTCGCTTCAGTGTCCGGCCAAAGAACTACAGAGCACCAGGAAACACAACAGAACTATCTCTGGCTAAAAATAGACCCAGCTAATTAACAAAACCTTGTTAACAGGGACACCCGGCAGCAAGCATAACCTCTTCTTTCTTTACAAAGGGATGATCAACATTGACTGTTCCAGCAGCAGCAGCAAATCCTCAAGATTACTTCAACGTGAGCAACTGCTCAGCGGGTGAGACCCAGGGAAATGCTCTCTGTGCCCCGTCCTGGGTTTCTTTTATAACTGTTTAATGCCGTGCAGCGTTAGAGTTCTGCCTTTCTTAACCACTGTAATAAATACATATCAATCTCTTTCAAGTTTAATAAATGGGGATCCTAAAAGCTTTGTCCCCATCTGCTTTTTCCATTCAATTAATATAACACAACACCAGGGCAATGAATTATTGAAGAGAAATACAAGCCAGAGCTTTCACAAACACACTCTACTCCAGTAGCAATTTATTACAAATTAACAGCATGCTGCATTTCCTCCTGCATCATGAGAGCCGGGAATCAGCTGCACTGGCAAGCTACACCAGCCATGAAAACCTTGGAGCTGCCATAAAACACTACAGTCTTGAGCACAAATAAGCTGGAGTGGGAGGGGGGAGCAGAAGGACAGATGGACAACCAACAGAAAACCAAAAGTCACTTCTACTTTGAGGATTTTCTACTCATGAAACATCATGGTTTGTGTAAGAATAATTGGTCTTTTCAAATCTTTGCTTGTATCAGTGCTCAAAAGCGTGCTCAGTGTGCAGGGCTGACAACACGGTGCAAGCTCATTGCTGCATGAGAGCAATGCTAAAGCTTCAGACAAGCATTGCTGTGAACAGAATTGATTAATGTGCAAGTATGTGCAGATTTGCACATTTAAAATTACATCTGCTCAGCAGGAGGCTTCCAATATTTTTCACACCCTGCTCTTAACAACACACTTGCCCCAAAATGACCCTCTAACACTGACATTAGAGGGGACTCCCAAACTGCAAAAACAACAGCTCTTCTCCAGCAAAGCAGTTCAAACGCCAACCAGTCAGAAAGATACTTCACATTTCACCAGGCTGTTGCTCTGGAGGTACTCACAGCAAGCCCATCAAGAGCAACACGGGTATTGTCACAGGCCTGTTTCGGGGGCCTGTTTAAAGATTACCAACCAGTCAGTGAGTTCCAAGCTCTTTTTTAATGTGCTTCTTGCTAGAAATCATCTGGGCGTGTTGGTCCTCCAAATAGCTGGAGTGAAGGCAATGCATTAGTGCCCAGGGTTTAGGAGATGTTACACTCTGTCGCAGCCAGGCCTCTCCAGCAGCGTGCCAGCCAAGAGCTGCTCCTCTGTCAGAGCAGCAAATTCCCCCCCAAAAAAACCATTGGTGAGAGCAGACACCAAACCAAAAGGGATTTTCCCTCCATGGCTTTTCTGCTTCTAATATATGCTTAGGAAGGAACTTTCCTGACAAACAAGATATCATGCAACCACAACTGCTGTATCACCTTTGTCAACTCTATTAAATGCACCCAACCTCTCCCCCTTGTCCTCTGTCCAACATGGAGTAGTGACTTTCAGAAAATAAACCCAGCTTGTTTTCAACAAGCAACATCTCAGCCGCGTTAACCCCTGCGGCGTTAAATTCGGTGTCTCCCCGTCTTCCCTCTCAGCAAAGCAGCGAACTCACCTCCATTTTTGATAGCTCTGATCCCCCGATGGAAATCTTCGAAGCTGATGACTCCAAGTCCGCTCGGATCGAGGTACTTTGTTAGGTCCTTTACCTGCAACCACAAAAGCAGCGTTACCCCACAGAGAAACACCTTGTAACGAGTTCTTCCTCCTTACACGAAAAATTAGGCTAATAGCAGTGAATTTCTTAAATTGACAACAAACCGTAGCTGCTCTCCTTGAAGTAAGCCTAAGCAATCAGTACAGGGGGGTTAATTAGTACTTGGTTGGTGCTGAAACTATTGCTTAGTCTTGAAACGTAGGTTAAGGCAGTATTTCTTGCAATGCACTCCTCCTCTGCCAGGGATTTGTTTATTTTTCTGTTTTTTAAAGAGGTCCTATCTGAACTGGGAAAACTCAGTAATAGGCTGCCCAGTAGGAGGGCCCAATTAAGAGGATTCAGTGATAATGAACTGCTCCACGTTACCAATTTAGGCCACATAATTGAAACATTTTCACAATTAGACAATGCCTGAGGGAGAAGGAATCACGTCAGCTAGTGAGGATTAGGAAGCGGATGCCGGAGCAGGCATACATGTGGAGGAAGGGAGGTTTGTGAGACCTGGCGAGGATGGTCTGGGCACTTCAGGCAGAGCAGGCCATGGTTTGAGGGCAAAATCAGTCATTCCTCATGGCCCAAACAAAGCCTTCAAAAAGGTACATCTGGTTCCTTCCTTCCCTGCTGCCACAAGCCTGCCCTTCGGAAAACCCTTTACACCACTGAAGTTCTCAAGCTGAGACAATCAGACATTTTTTTTCCTGCTTAAAAAAATGCAGACCCTCATTTTAAGAGGTACTGAGGCATCTTCACATATTTTAGAGCCACATCCTTCAGCTCAGAAACAAGCCCAGGAGGAAGCACGGTGTAAGAGGTGAAAAAAGGGATTGCATCATTAGCTCCATACTCAAAAGCTGCCTGCAGCGCTGCCCTCGCCCTGCCGAACAAACAGACCTCTCCTCCTCCTCCGGAGCTGACGCACATGAGGAAGTCTTCAGGCGGTCGGCAGTGCTGGATTTGCTCAGCTCTCATGAGCACAACCGGCTGCCCTTCAACTCACTTGGGCAATCTCTCAGTTTCGGTTTGTTCTTGGGGAAAAAGATGGTGAATCACAAAACCTCTCCTTCCAGGGAAGGAAACCTCACATCTAAAAGGAGATTTAACATCTGACCGTGTGGAAGAAAACCGAGCCCAGCTGTGGTGCTCAGAGCCACCTGACTCATTACAAATCAGCAGGGGGGTTTGTTTGCTTCCTTTTTGTTTTGTTTTCCTTAAATCCAGGTTTGTGTTTATGCAGGAAAATCCCATCTGCCACACGCTCAGAGCTGTTCACCCACGCGTTCACGTGGTTTCTAACACATCTGGGGGAGGCAGGAGAAGTCTCGGCTTTGGACACCCCACCTCCTCGCAGCAGCGGGGAGCACACTGCCAGCACGGAAGAGACCACAGGGCTGAGACCATAAAAACCACGCAGAGAAAGCCCAAAGCCCCAGCACGGCACAGGCTTGCCCACTTGCTGTCTTACACCATCACGAACGGGGAGAGGAAAACATAACCATGTTTTCCAATTTCTGGGGAACCTTTTCAGCAGACAGATAACAAAACTGTTGAACACACACGGCACACATTGACTCGGATGAGTCAGGCTTCTTGTACATTAAACAAAGGTATTTTAGACTAATAAAAACAACTCACAGGAATGTGTCGGTTCCAGTTAATGCATCTGGCAGCTTCTTTGAGTTCAAAAGCTGTAGCTTAATTTGTTATCTGTGTATATAGATAACAGAAATGCAAGTGACATTTAATCAGACCTGATAAGCCTAGAAGTGATTATCATGACACACTCTGAAGTTTCTGTCATACGGGACATGCAGGCAGGGCTGCTCACAGCACGGGCAGCTTCGAGCCTTTGTGCCACCACCCCAGCAAGGCACTGCTCTTGTGCAAGAGGGACAGAGCAGTCGGACAAGTGTTTTGCTTATGCAAGAGAGAGGCACCTATGTATTTAAATTAAGCTGTGGGCAGGGGGAAATGAGGGGAAATGTTTCTTAAAACTTCACAGGCCTGACATTAGAGATGCAAACAAACAAAAGCCACACAACTGACGAAGCTCAAACCCATGGTTGTACATCTGTGCTGATCCAAACCCACCCATACTTGCTGTCCAGGATTAAAAGGAACTCTGAGCATTAAATAACTGATGAGATGCCGCTCCCATCACCACACTGAATGTGTGTGGCCGCTGACAGCACACAGAGAACAAGGACATCAGCAGTGCCTGCCTGGACCTCCAAACCCCTGTCAGAAGCTGCCCAGGGAGAGTAGAGGCTGTGTCCTGTGGGCCAGCACCCAGCATCTCCTGGCACCCACAGCAATGCTAGGGGAACACATCCCTGCCCCAGCCCTTTGGTGCCCATGAGCATCCAAACCTGCCTCCACCACCGCTGAGGCTGAAGCTCCAGAAGCTCCACACATGCTCTGTACAGGAGGGCCTTCTCCTAACTCTTCTGCACCTATTTTCTGCTATTTCATCAACTGCCTCCCAGTTCTACCACTGAAAAGACATGCCAAGATGCAAGCGTGACTCCCCTGAACCATACTCTCCTCTCCAAGGAGTCCCAGCCCCTTGCAAGGCAGCTGCTCCAGCCCCTTGGCCATGTTAATCATTTCCTGCACCCTCTCCAGTCCCTCCCTCCTTTTTGGACATTCAGGCCAGAGCTGCACACATTGTTCAAGACAGAGTACATCAAGATCTTGAATGGTGCCAAACACAGGTCCTCAAACCGTTTTAGCAGTTCTGAGTCACAGATTTGTTGTTTTTAGCTGAAGAGTAATCTGCAAGAGTGCAGGAGTTACCACCACACTCCTATAAGCACAAAAGCAAAAGTTAACACTCTACCAAACTGCAATGTTAAGCTAAAAGCTGGCAGATAAAAGCCACAGTCACAGGGAGGTACCTTATTTTAGCCAGCAAGAAATAGTAAAAATAAAGGTTTTGCTTACTGCATGTGTTTGTAGCTGGTTACAAACTTTTTTTGAAGTAAGAGCAGCCAGAAATACAGAGTATTAAAGAGTCAAAGAGGATGACGTGGTTTAAATAGCTGATTTAAATCCTGGTGGAAAGCGAGAGGTTTAAACTACTTTAAGTCAATCTACCTTAAGCTGAGTACAAACACAAGCCTGCAGAAGCAGAACCAGCGCTGAGAGCTGCCAAGGGAGCTCTCCTCACTCTGCGCCAGGGACGAGGCACAGCCCGGACTGAAGCTGGAATGAGCTCCAGACACAAGTCCATCAGGGATTTCTCCTGGTAAGGGACAGGAAGAAGGCAGCAGACTGGGGAGAAGGAGGGAGGTATCTGGCATCTCAGCAACAGAGTCACACTACTATGTCTTCTCCTGTGTTAAAGAACTCTGCAGGTAGGGCATTTTGCCTTCCAAAACCAACAGGATTTGCTGCCAACCAACACCCATCCCCAACAACCCCCTCCAACCAGGCCACCTCTGGGTACATACGCCAGCACCATGCCGTACTGCTGTGCTGGCTGTTAGGTTTCCCCACCACGTGGGGCACAAAAAGAGCTTCCTTGCTTTGATGCAGTGAAATCGGTTCAGCGATTTCGAGCCTCAGCTAAGCCAATGGTGACAACTCCAAATTCAAATTAATACAAAGACCTGGCAGCCACACAATGAAAGTTTCCAGGGAGGCAAGGGATTCCCCAGCTGTGAGCGGCCCTGTTAAGCAGCCTGGAGGAAAAGGAAAAGGAAACTCCAGGCCTTTTCTCTTTACCTTATTGATGCTCCGTGTCTCCACCATGTAGCAGATGGATCCAGCAGAACAAAATACTCACTGTGCTTGTTTTAAGCATTGGTCTCTGAAGGAAGGGAGGGCTGCGCTGGCCAGCTGACACCCTCCTTGTAACCCCTGAGCCTGCCAGAAGCCTTTCTTAATCTTCTGGCAGAGACTGGGGCTGAATCAGCTTCCAAAAAGAAATTCTTCTGAGGGGTGAAGTGAGGGTAGGAGATTTCCAGTGGCCACAGCAGTCAGGCACTCCACAAGGAAGAGCTGGCAGAGCTCTGCTCCTGTGGTTGTGTGATATCTCACACAGATGATGCTTCCAGCCCTGCCACAACCAAGGCCACGTCTTGTCCTCTAAACCGCATAAGCCAATTAATTGATGATACCATAGTGGGAGTAATCAGTACAACATTTCAGTACAGCTTTACTTTACACAGACTCTGGAAGCAAGCCCAAAGGAGATGAAGAGGTGGAATCAATACTGATGTATTCCTGATACAATATGCCCAAATACTCGAGGGAGGCCAGTGAGCAGGCTGCAGGTCCCGCCAAGAACTTGTGCACCTGCAGTCTCACACACGCTGCAATAAGCAAAGACGGATGCTTTTGCCTTGACGCTGCTCCCTCCTTTCCTGTGGTCTCAGCCTTCTGAGCAATAGGACAAGTGCCAAGGTAAAGTCATGGGAAACTGACTGAGGGTGAAGATCTGGTCTTCTTAAGAGATGACTTCTACTCTCAGGCACCCAAAATGGACCAACCACATGGATTACATGCAAAAAGAACCTAGACAGCTGCAAGAAAGACACCAAGAAAGCTGCCCAGGTAAGGAATACCATGCCAGAGACTTACCAAGGTCTGGTTAAACCAGGTGCCTGGCATGGCATGGTTTGGCTGCTTGTGCAAACAGAGACAAACCAACCCATCCATGAAAATATTCACAAAACCAGTAAGCCCAGTCCAGGTTCTGACTAGGTGACACATGCTTATTGCTGGCTGGGACTTGATTTTAGCCCAGAACATCAGAATAACTGTTAACACAGCCACCAGAGGAAGACTTTCATCTGCGAACTCATTGCCATACTTTGACCTGATGGCAGCAGCCAGCGCTGGCTGGGGACTGGTGCAAAAAGCAGCACTACCTGCGAGTAGTTCAAAACACATTTGCATTTCACTTATTAAAAACTTTTTCAACAGAGAGGCAAAGGCTAGCCAAAAAGGTAGCACTTAGGCACTCAGACTGGAGCTTTGAAAGCAGCTGTT